CACCCCCCTGTTGGATGAAAGATCCCGCCTTTGATTGAAATGGAACCTTCCACTATTGAGCAGGCCTTTGCTGAATGAGTCATCGGGGCGGCTGCTTATTGGCTGAGGCCGCTGGAACCAGGGGATTGCCTGGCGCCGGCTGCAAGGACCTGCTTCATTCACAGAAAAGCTGTCTCGCTCGCTAGCCCTTTCATTCACACAAACGGCATTTCATTCACATTTTGCTGTTTTTGTCTGCTTCTAATGAAGATCACGGTTTGAGAATGATAGGGCATTTTTGCTTTAGATTTTGGGGGTGGGGACTTTGATAATCATCCCAACCATATATGGGGTGTGCATTTGCTGTTGCTATGCAAGCAAAGGGAAGGGAAAAGATGAGAGCCGTGCGCCTGCCCTGCTAGGCCTGCGGCCCTGGGCCTTGAGCCGCTGCCTCCCTGCACTCCTGTGTCCAGTAGCCGGCTCGCCATGAGTGGCCCTGATTACAGCTGCTCCACAGAGCTCTTCAAGGCTGGGTGCCTCATGTGTCACATGTCTAGTCGTGGGTGTGAGAAGACTCAGGGTGACCTGATACCGTGCTAGAGGTAAATTCATTTGCTTGTATACAGGTAGCCGGAAACTTGGACAGGAAGCGTTTCACTGTATTGGGCAAGCTATTTCAATGCATGACAAAGATGGCAGAGCCCACCTTGACAAGGATTATGGGTTTGAGCCCCGCAGACCCTCTGGGGGCTGCCAGTGCCCTGTTCTTTTAACTGAGAGGAATGAGGCCTGTGCGGATCTCTTGCAGCCCGAGTTTGAGTCCTGAAAAAAAAAAAAAATAGGCTTTTAAAAAATTTTTTCCTGCGGATTTGATGTGTAATGAGAGCAACTGCATTTTTTTTCTCTCCCTTACTGCAGGGCTGCAAGCTGCAACTGAAGAGACATTGATATGTTATTTGTAGCGTTTCTTAGGCATTTTTCCAGAGCTTGAACACATTCAGTTGGAAGAAAGCTTCAAGCCCCTTTTTTGGAATGAATTTCTGGAGCCTGTTGCCATTCACCAAAGCACTTTTTTTCTGTTCTTTTCTTTCTTTCTTTCTTTCTTTTTTTTTGAAGTAGGTTTTTAACCCTGGCTGAGAAAGACTGCTGTAAATTAGCAGGGGAGAGACCCTAACCTGGCTCTGTGCATTAGTACATATGCAGATTTTTTTGTTTGTTTGTTTGGAAGAACTGCATTGCCACAAAGACACTTGTCATGGCCGCTCTGTAGATTTGAAAAGAAGAAAGAAAAACCCAGAAAACTGGTATTTTATGTTCACCTGGGATTGACTATTTCTCTCTCTCTGTCTCTTGCTATTTAACAATTCCTGCTTGTTTTCCAAACCAGAATTCACGAAGATCCACTGAAGATCATATTCTTAGAAAGACTTCGTCACATTTTAACGCATCGCTGTCAGACACTTACAGGCTCACACAGATGGGCTGATGAGGAAGAGAAAAGCCTAGCAAGGAATAATGGGTTTCAGAAAGTTCATCTGATCATCTGAAGAAACTGGATTTACTTCTGGCACAAATACTGAGTGGGGGGATGGGGAGGTGAAAAATCAAGGTTGGAAGGAAATATCTGGGAAGGTAAAAAAGGAAATTTGAGAATCGATTGGCTCTAATGTGCCTTTAGTGGGTGTATGTGTGTGTGTTTTATCATCTTTTTTTTTCTTTCTTTTCCTTTTTTTTTTTTGCTACAGGAAGTGATTTGCAGTGCTCACCGAGCCTTTGTTGAAAGGGTCTCCTCTCGGAGTGAGTCATGCTTTTGCTGTGAGCAGCCCCAAGCAGCTGGGCGCTCATCAGAGGAAACTATGACTTTTGCAAAGCGAGCGTGCCGCCCTCAGCAGCCGCGTCCGGGGCCGGGGCTGAGCGGCCGCGGCGGCGCGGGGTGTTAGCGGTGGGAAGTCGGCGCCTCGGTCTGCGCCCCAGACCCCGCCGCCGTCCCGGCCGCTGCGTCCGCCTCGGGACCG